TCCGCCGGTCTCATGAGGAGTCTCGGCGTGCTTCCACCTCATCCTCCGTCCCGCCCACCCCGGGCAAGTCTCCGTCGAAGACAGCACAGCCGCCGTCGAAGAAGAAGAAGACGATGCCGCCTCCATCCTCGTCTTCTTCTTCTTCCCGAAAGCAGACCACCGCCTCCTCGGCCACCTCGTCGGCGAGGTCATCGCCGTTGCAGTCTGCTCAACCCCTGCCGACTCCTCAGCCTACTCAGGAGCCACAACCGTTGCCAGAGCTGCCTGCAGAGCAACCCGAGTCCCCGGTGATTTCGGTGGACACGGTGATCGAGGCACCAACTCGACATGTGACAGCCAGACAGGAGCTTTTCCCGTCGGTCACGACCCTGACAACTGTGATGGCAAGACAGGAGACTTCTCCACTGCTGGAGACTCCGGAAAGGGGCAGGCAGACTATGAGACTGGCCCGTGCCATTCAGGCCTCTACCTCAAAAGCCCCGCCAGCAGCTCCACCGCAACGCCCGAGTCGGGATGTCTCTTCATCCCCTCTTCCCCAATCCGTGGCTGCTGATGACGAAGAGGAAGATGGCGAGTTGCCGGGATCGGTACACTCGGAATCCGTGTTATCTCTCGGGATCGAGAGATCACCCACTCATGACGCATATGAAGTGGATCCACCATCTCCCACGGACAATGTCCGAGCCTTTGCGGATCAAATGGCTCGCATGGCTGATGCCTTAGGCCTGGAGGTCAAGCAGACTTCCAAGGCAGTACAAGACCCGGTGTTCAAGAGGGTGCAATCGGAGTCTCCACCTGCTCCTCTTCTACCCTTCTTCCTGTATCTCCTCGAGGTGATCCAGGGCTCCTGGAAAACCCCCTCCTCCATCCCTCCAACCTCCAAAAAGATTGAATCATGGTACAGAACAGATGATGAGGGCTTGGAGTGGCTGAAACACCATCCCGATCCCAATTCGGTGGTCGTGAAAGCGGCTCAAGGTTTGAGGAGGCAATCGTCGGCCCCGTCCGACCGTGAGGGGAAGAGATTTGACGCAGTAGGCAGGAAGCTCTACTCCGGTGCCCTCCTACTGGCCCGCATGGCCAATTATGGTGCTTGCATGGGGGCATACCAACAAATTCTCTGGGAGAAAGCAGCTCCACTTTTCCAGAGAATGTCGGATGAGGATCGCACTGCCCTTTCCACCCTGGCTCAAGAGGCAAACTCTTTGGCGC